CCCCCCCCCCGCCGACTGTCTAGTACTCACTTCCGGTGGCAGAGCCGTCGCTGTTGGTGTCAGTCTTGTCGCTGGAAGAGAAAGGTAATGTCCGTGAGAAGTCGGCTCCCTGGTCCGGAGGGCAGCCCGCCATCATGCAGAGGCGCAGCAAGCCGCATCTGCGGGATCAACGGCCACACGGCAAGCCCATTACAGTGCTAACTCTAAAAGCAAGACTGGACAGTATCAACGAGGCGTTGCGTCGCCTGCATTGCGTCCGGAAAGCTAATGTTGCCAGGTACTCTCAAAAAATGTCCTCTTTGTTTCTTCATCTGCTATGTGTTGCAGCAGAGAAGTCATTTAACGACAAAATTCATGCGTGTTCTTGAAAAGAGATTTTGGGGTTATTGTTAACATTTTCAAACCTGTTTTGTTTTTATCTTGTTAAAAGGGGCTTTGGAGCACAAAGGATTTGAATTTTGTCAGGCAAGGAGTGACGAGGCTAAGGTGTGCTCGAGCACCTGTCAAGGTGGTGTCGAATTGTCAACGTAAAGGAGCAAATGCAGCCTGGAACGTCTTACGTGCTGTCGCTGTCAGGCGCTCTGGTCAGGACGCTCTGGACCAGGCCGGTCAGACTGGCGATCTGCTTCTCCATGGCCTCCATGCGCTCAAGACGATGATCCCTGTCACAGAACGAAACCAGAACCGCAGTGACCAATCTCAAGTCAACTTAAACATCACAATATTCTGTTCGATGATTTGGAATATATTTCAAGGCCTTGGATTTTCACATTTTATATGCTGAACTCTTACACCCTTTTTCAATAATCCAAAGTAAAACAAATCCAATCGAATCAAAAATGTATATAATGGGTAGCAAATGGCCCCCAGGCCGAAGTTTTGGCACCACCACCTCTCGAGCCATCTCATATGCTCCAACTGACCTGCTCGCATCAGCATCTGGTCCGGACAGCGCTGACCCAAAGCCGGGCGTGGCCCTGCCTCCCTCCCCGGGTCCAGCTGTGAGACAGAGAGGCTCAGAGCCAGAACCGGGTCTGGATTTGGGACTGTCCATGAACACGGAGGACGTCGAGTCCTTCCGAAAGTTTTGCCTGACGGGCGAAGCCCGGTTGGGCGAGCCCGAGTACGAGTCTCTGTCCCGCAAGTGCATGTCGGGGATCTTCTGCGGGGACGACGGCGGCATGCGGAAGCCCATGCCCAGTGTGGCTGAGTACGTGTCGGAGTATAAGGACCCGCCGGGCTTGTAGAGAGAATCGTCCAGCTCCCCCTGCAGGGCAGCGGCGGAATACGTGCTGAGGGAGCGCACAGACCCGCGGCGGTACAAGCCCGAGGACACGGGGAAACTGAAAGGGTCTCCGATGGTCGCCAGGGATTGCGTGGAGGCAATGCTGAGGCGGCCCTCGTGCATCAAGCTGTAGGGGTCGGCGTAGAGGGACTCATTCTTCATCAGAGCCAAGTTCTTCGCCGAGACCTCCTCGTCCGGCTTGACGTCCCGCCGCTCCAGGATGGCGCTGGGTGAGGGCGAGAGGGCCGCGTTGGCCACGTGGGCGGCTGCCACCGCGGCGTGGTGAGGGTGGCGGGCCTGCTCGTGGGGCCCGTGGGACCCGGCGAAGGAAGGCGGGCGGCCGCCGCTGTAGGAGAGGCGCGAGCGGGACGGCGAGCCCGAGGAGCCCGACGACGAGGGGAGAGTGTTTAGGCGGCGAGTCGGGGAAGAGTCACGGGATGAGTACACCATCTCCCTCTGAAAGCAGGAAGCGGCCCACGTTACCACGAGGACGCAACCGTGCGACAGCAGTAAACGACAACGTTAAAGACTCTTTCCGTCCATTTTAACCTGCTTTTTGTGGAGCGTTATAAAGTTGCGCTCAGCTCCCTTTATGGCCATCAAAAGAAAAACAATCATTTATTTTTGCATTTCATCCTGAACTCATTGCGCCTTTCCAGTGCTCACCGTGTTATCAGCAAACAAAGGAGCACAGCTGGCCCCAAACAACGCTGAATACATACATACATATACATTGTTACATATGCAAGCTGACTACCCACAATATTAGGTACACTTAAACACCTGCCTGTCCATTCGTCATTGTCACCCTTCTCCTTGCATTGTTGATGGCAAGAAACGGCTAAGCAGGATTTTGCGTTGAATAATTAAAACCCAAAATCTCGTCTCCCTCAGGCCTTTCTTGCTCGTCGCTGACGCGGAAATGTAAAAAAAAAAAAAAAAGAAACACTTGTTTTAACACGGCGACATTGTCGTCAACAGATGGTCTGCTCAAGATAGGAAACACATTTCCAGGAGGAATACCTGCCGAAATCACCAGTGAAACAACAAAAACAACAACGCGCTCAAAATGCTCATTAGTTCTGCTTTAAAAGCTTGCAAATGTTTTGCCTGAAATTCGAAATTACGCAGTGTAAATGCCGAGACTCTGAAATGTCATCGCAATTCCCGTGTTTGCCGTTCAAATGAGCGTCATAAGCCGAGAACCTCGCCTTCAGCCTTCTCGCACACTCGCTCACCCGCAGGTCCCCGTTGGCCAGGTGGACGGCGGCCGGGTAGGAGGCGTAGACGGGCTCCTTGCGGTAGATCTTGATGACGCTGCGGTCCTGGATGTCGCGCACGTCCTCCAGCTCGTAGAAGACGTTGCGCGCCTCGTCCTTGATCAGCACGGCCGTGTTGGGCGACTTGAGCATGCCCGCCGTCAGCTTCTGCGGGAACATGTGCACGATGAGGGCGTGCAGCGTGTCCAGGCTGCTCAGCTCGTGGGTGATGTGCACACGGCGCGTCTCGTCGCCGTACTGCAGGAAGAGCACGCCTGGGGAAGAAAAAAAAAAGAGATCAACAATAAATCCTAGTGACCTCCACTATTATAACACACTCATCCAACCGCCACCATTTTGAAATTTGACTTCATACTGTAGGCAACATACAAAATATAACAGGGGTCACCAATGTCGCGCCTGCGGGCACCAGGTAAGCCCCGAAGGACCACATCACGCGCAAGGCCCATTCTAAAAACAGCTCACCGGTGATGGGACATTGTGATTTTCTAGGAATGTTGGAGAAGTGATCATTTGAAAAATGTAAGCACCGGCACAGGTATCTTTTTCCTCATCACTGTGCGAAATCATGAACATGATCATTGTCTTCACATTAATAGTCATAACATTGTTCAAGGTCATTTGATTTATCCATTTATGACTTCAGAAGCCTTGGTATGCAACACTGTATTCATGTGAGGGAACTTCAAATACGGAAAATGAAAATTAATTACCAATTTAGTGCAGTACCGATGATGTTCATCGATTAGAATGTCGAACTTCAAAACCAACAAACAAGAAAAAATGTGTTTTTGCATCCTTACGGTGGGATTAATCACATTTGAATTTTGATTGAACTCGAAATGTGATCTCGATTATTCTTGCATTTGACCTTCTACTTTAATTACGAGATGACACTTTTGCATGACATTGATGGAAACCAATTGAAAAGAACGCACGCACTCGATGTGCTCCAACAGCTCCATTTGATCTGATATCTCTTGTATGTGTTTTGACGCCTGACTAACCTGCATATTCATCTTGGTGGAGTGCGGTCCAAACACACAAAGAACAAACAAAGCAAAGAAAGAACCAGTCGTTAAAAGTCAGACACGTGGTGCTGGAGAAACCCAAAGTGTGCGCATGCAAAATCCACTGAACATTATTTGGGGATAGGTGAGGCCTTTCCATTGGCACAACAGAGTCAGTGGATTGTCAAAAGAATAAAGATATTAAACAGCCTCGAATCATGTCACAAAGATTATGATAACAATAAAAATAAACTCAAAATATACAAATAACTCGCAACAGATCAAAAGTGGACTAAATACTTCAAATAAAAAATGATTGATAGCAAATATATTTTTTAAAAAAATTAAATTAGGCACTGGACTGAACGACATCATGCCAATGGATATTTGCATGGACCGTCAAAGTGTGCGCGTGCGTGTTAGCGTGCATGCTACATGCTGACCTGGAGACCGTAGCTTATTCTGGCTGGCGGAGCGCGACAAGGGCAAGCTTTGGCGGAAGCGGTTCATCCTGTTGAAGCCGATGGGCACGTCGGCCTCGGACATGGTCTCCAGGGATTCGGCGGAGGCGAAGGACAGCTTGGTGGCTTGGTCGGCCAGCCCCGATTGGGTGGACTGGGAATGGCGAGGGCTGCGGCTCTGTAGCGGGGAGAGGGCGCAACGACCGGGTGAGGACAGGCTGATGGGAGGATGATGGCGTAAGAAGAACATGAGTGACGAACAAAACGCCGAGTGTGGTTTTGGACTTGACGCTTACTGGCACTGCAGTAGAAGGATGTGCTTCAGCTTTGCGTAAGTTGTGTCATGTTTGCCTGACTTTTGCACACCTCCCGTGGCGCACTTATCCAAACTCCGGGCCTCCCGAGCTGCCGTAAACTTTAAACGAGTCCTTTTTTTGTTTTTGGAAAGCCCCTGCAAATCTGGCGTTGGCACCCTGTAGGTTCAGGGCAGCTGGGCTCGAGCTCAGCAGAGCGGCTGGCTGATCCTCTGGCTCAGAGGGTGCCGTAATGAGCTCCCACAATGCTCTCTGGTGCTTGTTTCGGAGGGAAGACCATAATGTAGTTTTGGACACCGGACAGGCCGGTCTTGGTTGCCTTCTTACACTTGTAACATGTCCTCACTCCCAATTTATAGATATATATTTTTACAACGGACCTGTTTGATTCGATGCAATATTTTTTTTTTACACCCTTGGATACAACACTAATTTTAAAAAATCTGCAATGCATAAACTGAACCCCGATATGGTGCATATACAGACTCTATAGTGTGTAAAAAGAAGGAAATTTGCCCCCAGGGACCTTTTGACAGAATTTTTCTTGCTTATTTCACCCAAAATGAAAATAGCTTTAAGTAGCAATATTGGCCCACTCTGACCCATCAGCAATGTTTAGCATCACAGCAAGTCAACTACATTATTCATTATTTTTGCCCTACAGCGCCTTCTCACTTGATACTCCTTTCTGTCTATATTTATATGTGCCGGCCTTCTGTCAGTGTACATGCATAATTTAGTCCCCCACACAGACACGATGCAGTAGTGTGATAGTGTTCAGCAGAAAGTTTTGTAAGCATGTAAAGAAACATGTACGGAGCAATCAAACTTGCTGCGCTTTCTTTCTTCGCAGGCTTCGTTTTGTCTGAGGAATTGTCGAGCGTGGGCTGCAGCTTGACGTGACGTGTAATTTAGCAAGGACAGCAGCAAAGTTTACAGTCCTTGGAAGCGCCTGTGTAATCGAAGTGTTTATCTGACCTGAGAGTCTGCACAAAGCAGTCTTTTTCTATTGCCATAGAAAATCAAAGCACAACAACTCAGAGGGTCTTAAAGATGTCAGAGCCTTATCTGGAATCCAACCGTTGACTGCCATCAACGAATATTTTTCAACATGGAGGTGTGGAAGAGCGTTACACCCACATTGTCAGTGAAATTCAGGGTTGTCAACCACTGTAATGACTAACAGTGCCCCGTAGAGGGCTTTGGATTTTAGATCAGCACAGCTTTTGAGCAGAAGATAAAGATTAGGCGGTGATTCTCTGCTTGTCACATTGATTATGTGGTGGGGGCGGGGGGGGGATACCAACATGTTGGAGGTCCAACATGTTTAGGCACCTCGCACTTGAACAGAGTACATTTGGTATAAACAGAGTATGTATCATGGTAAGCAGTAGAAAATGTGTGAAAGACTTCATGGAATGAATGGTGAATGACATCCACCATCCATCCATTTTCCGATCCGCTTTATCCTCACAAGGGCCGCGGGGGGTGCTGGAGCCTATCCCAGCTGTCTTCGGGCTGTAGGCGGGGGACACCCTGAACCGGTTGCCAGCCAATCGCAGGGCACACACAGACGAACAACCATCCGCGCTCACGCTCACACCTGGGGACAATTTTGAGTGTTCAATCAGGCTGCCATGCATGTTTTTGGAATGTGGGAGGAAACTGGAGTACCCGGAGAAAACCCACGCAGGCCCGGGGAGAACATGCAAACTCCACACAGGAAGGCCGGAGCCGGGATCGAACCCACGACTCCTGCACTGTGAGGTCGACGCGCAAGGTGAATGACATGTTTTAAAAAAAAGCAGATTGCTTGCATTGGGTTTTCTGCGGGTACTCTGGCCAACATCCCCAAAACGTTCATGTTTGGCTCAGGGACTACTCTAAATTGTCCACAACTGTGAACGTGACATTCTCCAGGAGCCGCTTGAGTCAATATCTGTCAGCGGTGTGAATGTCAAACATTTCTCGACGGGCAGACGAAAGGCAGGCGCTGATGTCTGAAAATTACAATTCCTCACACCTTGACCGCTTATTCTGCAATTTTTTTTTTTTTTTTGTAATTCCCTCTTGCTCTTACACAGTTTACACTTCCAAGAATATCTTCTTCTTTGGAGCTCATTTGTCATCTCTTGGCACTGCAGCCGTGGACATTTGCGCTCTTCTCTGCACATAAATTGACTGACCGAGCCTCGCTTGCTATTCGGCCACCTTCGTGATTCCTCTCAGGCCAATCTTCTGCCTGGACACACAACACCCCAGAGCGACCTACCCCCCCGCCCCCTTCCTTCCCCTCTCACAAGACAACTGAGGCTTTCTAATAGCAGCAGCCATCATTGCATGGAGCAAATTGCTTAGCCGGGGAATAAACATCAAGAGGAAAATGGTGCCCTGAAGAAAACAGTTGGCCAGACATAAAATCGTCATTTTTTTTATCTTTTCGCTGACAATCAAATCATATATAATCTTATACTTTTAAGAGGACTGCAGTAAAGGTTTGTGAAGTCGATTTTCCTGTTTTAGTCTAAATCATTGCGTACTTAAAAGGCGAAAAGAATTTCCCTGGACACACCTGGCTGCCCCATCCCATCTGGCTTTGTTTAGATTTTTATGCGGTTTATTCGATGTCTCCTCCTGTCGTAGGTGCATCTGCTACCGACAACAACATTGCCTTTAGTTTTATGACGACTAGCACTGTGGGAAACAACTACTACTACCTATCAAAAGGGCTTTTTGTTTCATCTTCTTTTTTTGTGTCAATGATGATTTTGCGATGCGACCACCAGAAGGATACCATTAAAACAGGAATTGACATGGGATAAATGTAAGGTGTGTCTGTCCTGGCTGCCCAGTTCACTTTGTCAGTCATAAATTACAACTAAGGAAATCCATTCATCCAACCATTTTCTAATCTTCTTTTCCTCACAAGGGTCGCGGGCAGCTGTCTTCGTCCAGTAGGCGGGGTACACCCTGAACTGGTTGTCAGCCAATCACGGGGCACAAAAAGAAAAGCAAGCATTTGCGCTAGGGACAATTGTCTGAGTGTTCCATTCACCTGCCATGCAAGTTTTTGGGAATGTGGAAGGAAATCGGAGCACCCGGAAAAAACCCACGCATGCAATCTCCACACAGGAAAGCCGGAGGATCGAACCCTGCACCTCTGCACTATGAGATGGACATGCTAACCAGACGTCCACCGGGCCGTTCTTCAAGTCAACAATTAGTTGACCATAAAATGACCAAAATGTACAATCGAATGAAATGTTCCCACGGTTAAGGAAAGTAACTTGGCGCCGATACACGTTACAGTTTAAAATGGTCTATTGTTGCCATTGTAAATAAAGTCGAATTGACGAGCTTGTCCTCTACATAAGCTAAAGGCTATCAGGAAGCTTCCGAGCGGCACTCTAATTCCCATCAATCACATTTGGAGTAAAATGCTGAGAGTGATAAATTGCCGCGCATCTCACTATGGGTCAAGGAACTCGGCTATTGATATTCGCTGACATTTCCACCCTGTCGCGCCGATAGCCGAGCCGGAATGGAAGGAGAGTGGAGAGGGAAATACACAGCAGATAAGCTGGGGGCTTTTTTTTTTTTATCCCCCATGCTCTCACACATCAATAGTCGCATTGTTTAGCACGAGTTCCTCCCTGCCAACTTCCGCGAGAGACAACGGCCCACCGGGGGGGGATACTTGACTGTTGGAACAGGTGATCAATACATCTTAACAGCGAGTATTTCTTCTGCCGAGGTGTTCGTTTTTAAAAAGCGAAATGTGGCCGCGTGACTGAGTGAGGTACGGTAAATCCTCCAAGGCAGCATCCTGACACGACAACCTCCGATAAGCACGCACGCGCGCGCACACGCACACACATAGATAAACGTATATGCATGAGGAACCTTGAGCGCCATGAGCAGACAGCTAAACTGGAGGTCACACAGTATTCTTTACAGTACATCATGCTCAAAGGCCACCTCAAGTGACAGCATTTATGTCCTGTATGCAAAAGGAAGACCGAAGGCCTCAATACAATCTGGAGTACTGCACTAGCGGTGTCACAAAAATCGGAAAATCGGTTCCGTGATGTGAGTGCATCGAATCGAACCGAATCGTTTCACATTAAATTTAGCGTCCTTGAATTGTATCACACCTCATATATGTATGAGATGTATTGAAAGGTCTTTTATTGGCGAGATACACACCCGGTATACGTACGTAGAAGATATTCAGATGTCTATGATCTGTTTCACAAAATAAAATGCTGAAACATGAACATTTCCTTCATAGATATACGACCTAATGCGAGTTGGCCCATTTACTTCTATGACAAGTATCCACCGCGTTAAGCATGACTCGCTTGTGGCAATGAATTACATGCAATGATCGGCGGCACACTTGGGGGCTTAAAAGGTTTAGGAAATGTTAATGCAGACGAATACAAAACCAGACACAAACAAGTACACACACACACACACACCAACTCCTCGGTGGAGGTTTCGTTGAATATGCACCACTGACCTTAAAGCTCCAGTAGTTGGGTTGTTGCTGCAGTGTTTCCCGTGGCACAGAAGAAGAAAGACAAGACAATTTTAGGAAGTGAAACGAAATAAAACGATGTTCACTCTCTATCTTGTAATGTGTGCACTTGAAAGTCCCGTCACAGTGCCTCATATTGAGCGGGGGGGAACTCCTCCCATTAAAATGTAATCCCCCCACCAGCGTCCCAAGTGGCCGGTGGTCCCGGAAATACACCTTGTAGATACTGAATTAAAAAAAAAATAAAGGCGATTGGGCAGCGTTCATGAATTTTAATATGAAATCCCAACCCTCATTTGAGCACTTCTTCTTATCTGCAGGCGCTTTTGAGTAACCGGTCAGTGTGCTGGATATGAATAAATCCTGACGCACAAATGATGGAAAAAGAGGCAGACTGGTGTGAGTTGTCTGAAGTGACAACATGACTGTAGAAAAAAAACAAAAGAAAAAAAAATGCAAACTGATGTTAGCACGAAGAGAATGGTTTGGAAGTCGTAATAGTAGTGGTATCAGTTCAAGTCGTCACATTACAAAAAGGAGGATGGGAGGGAGGCCCAAAGGAAAACAGAAATGGTTTGGTATGGGATTCAAGAATAAGTCGAAAACATAATTATATCCAATTTGTTCTTAGTTTAACTTAAAAAATAAATCAATATTATCCAGCCATTTTCTACAATGCTTATCCTTAGGGTCGGAAGGTGAACTGGGGCCTATCCCGGCCAACTTTGGGAAGGTACAGTCCACTCCAGACTGATGCCCAAGCAATCACAATTAGATCAATTTTCAATCGTTCAGCTGTACTTGTCACCAGATCGAAGGACGAAATAAAAGGACAAGTGTCAGTGCAGAAAACGGTGCTGACACTCCATCAAGTGTGTGATAAATATGAACTCGTCTCTTTCTGAGACAACTTCATTGACTCGATTTTGGCACGCAGCTCGAGCAAGTCAAGTCAGACCCTCCTCTCCTACGTTTTTTTTTTTTTTTTTTGGGTTCCGATGCTATCAGCAGCAATTACCCACAGCAGTCTTCTGGGCTCACATTTTCCTCTCGTAAAACGTGAAAGAAGAATCTTAGGAAACGAAGAGCTGCTTGTATATTTCTGCACATCAGGCACAGAGCTGAGTTAGTGAAGCGCCGCATTACCTGACCAGCATGTAAAGCGGGCTGCACTCACTACTACCCTTCCTCCACTGCATGTCGTCATCCCCCAGCACCCCACCAGCCTCCACATCACAGTCATTTGTAGTTATTCTCTCTTACACGCACACGCACGCACACGCACGCACACCCACACACCCACACACACACACACACACACACACACACACACACACACACACACACACACACACACACACACACATACCGAAACTGCAACTGCATAGTCTATCACTTGCAAAATATAAAACATCGATGCATGTCGGCGGAAGGTATTGCCCGGCTGTCGCCACAACAACCAAAACAAACAACAGGTTGAGAACATACGCGCACACGCATGTAGACATGCTGAAGTCCAGCCTCACCTACACCGGTTCACCGCTCCATTTTATCCTCGCCTGTCCGTCAAATGCAGCGAGCCGTCCGTGTCGCCCCTTCCTCCCTCATCACACATTATTTAATTCATTACATCAGCTGATCGGGACTCTTTATTTTTGCAGGTGGTTGTCTGGCTCGCGCCGCTGCGGGCTAATTGAACGGCGGCAACGGAGGCAGGAGGCTTGCAGCGCTGTACTCGCTCCAGCTCCTCCCTCCTCCCTCCTCCCTCCACCACATGTGGGAGACGTGGGGCTTTTTGCCGCGTCCTCAGTAGCCCCCCTCACGCGCCCCACGAAAGACCACTGCACTCAAAGAAGCGACGTCACCTCCGAAATCGTCGTTGCGAGCACTTAGTTAATCGGCCATTCCCATTTGCCTACGCAGCCTGACCTTTGCGATGCAATAGTCCCGCCATATGTGGAAGGGGTTGCCACGGCAACATTAGACTCCACCTGAATCTCTCCTTCTCTCAGTCATTTCTTTACATTTTAAATAAAATCAAATACAATACTCATTTGCATGCCTGAGCAGCCAGCTGTGAAACTAGTTTGTTTTTTTGTTTTTTTTTAATAATACTTGTATTCAAGCCAACGCAGACAATTTACAGGAGGGATGGGCAACTTAAACGATGGACGGGGGTCACAATTTTTTATCAGCACTAATGGGGGAGGAGGGGCACATAAGACCACGCACTTCCTAACTCAACTAACATACAGAAGTTCTCTTAGTATATTTTAATAAAGTGCAAATGGCTCGCTTGCATGAAAATGTGTTTGAAGGATGAAAATCTAGTCATGCCTCATGCATTTCAAATGATCTGTCGCCGGTTCTTGTGAAAAAAAAAAAAAAAAACTGTTGTGTGTGGCTTAGGTTGAAAGCACCTTAACAAATATGGCAGATGGGTTTAGGAATATAAACTAAATTTTACCTGAAAGACGCAATTGTCTTGACCTAATGCAGCCCTGCTCACAAGACCAGCTCGCGACTCTTCTCTGTTGAGTGATATTTGCCATCTAGTGGTGAACGGTATGACTACAACTTAAAACTGATCTGGCAGCGTGAACATTTCTATTTTCAATTATTAATCGAGTGTGCTCTTATTGTCTTAATGGGCGCTTGTTTTTTCCCCATTGGTACAAACCCCTTTCTACACCTGACACCTCAAAACAGACACTTAAATAACAACCGCCACAGAAATGTGATCAAGACACTTGGGTTTTGAATTGGTCTTCAATACGTATCAAAACTTAAATGTTCATGTGAACGTGTTTCGCGCGTACCTGTTCTCGCGCGGCCCTCTCTGAGCCTCCCCTCATGCTGGCGTGCGACTGCGAGGGCGACGGCGGGTTGTGGTGCTGATGCTGCAACTGCTGTTGCTGCTGGTATTTGCTCTTCAGGTGGTCCATGAAGGCATCCCGCTTGCGCTCCATGTCGGCCTTGTGTAGGTTGGTCAACGCCTCCAGGCTCTGCGCCGCCGTCACCGTGTGCCGGTGCTCCGACGTGTGCACTAGGCCCACATTGGAGAAGCGCCGGCCGCTGTTGCCCAGCGTCCGATACTCCCGCGGATACTCCAGGTCATCTGTGGAGATCATGTGAGTGGCGCCGCGCTCTGGGTCTGTGGGGTGGGTGGATGCAGAAAAAGGGAAGTGACCAATGTGGAAGAGATAAGAAGGAGGTAGAGAAAGATATGGGATGAGATATTCGATAGGAGGGCAGTTCTCGGCGCTAGTATTGATTCCAAAGGGCTGGCAAGGCAAGAAAAATGGTGAGCAAAGAATTAAAGGCTTTTGTAATGAATCAAAAGTGAACTTGTTTTGCTGCTTTGTCAGTCGAAGCACTTTCAAGCACTTTTGGCTGACGAAAGAGACATCAGACTTCTACGATCACCGTCGCTCTCTTGTAAAATAGCTCTTTATTTACAGTATATAGAGCTTTCACAGCAGCTTTTGCTATAACAAAGCGCAAATACACAATTCACTGACATATGATAAACAAAAGTTTCTCAAACTTTATTTATCCACTGCACATATTTAACATAAGAAAAATCTCATGGCACACCAGCCAACAAAAAAGTTGCATGTTCTCTAAACACTCTAAATTGTCACAAGGTGTGAGTGTGAGCGTGAATGGTTGTTCGTCTATGTGTGTCTTGCAACCAGTTCGGGCTGGACCGCGCCTCCTGCCCCAAGACAGCTGGCTCCAGCACCCGCGACCCTCGTGAGCATAAGCGGATTAGAAAATGGATGGATGGAGATTTGTTTGCTAATTTATGTTAAATATAATACAGCAACACTGGCTGGCATGGATAGAGGGACAAATATTTTTCATTACTTTTAGTTAAAAAAAAAAAGTACAGTATTCATTTTTGTGGGATGACAAACAATAAGGCAAAGTGATTATGCTTGAAACCATAACCACTTGATGGACACCACAGCTCAAAAATGAGAAATGAATGGAAAAATGCATTGAAGAAAGAAAAGGTGGGGGGAAGGTTTGCCGTGTGAGTTACCTTGTTTGGGATAACAGGCCCTGCTGGCATGTGCTGCAAGAGAAACATGCCAAGGGTTAATTTACGTGTTTGTGCACAAATGCGTGCAAACAAACACGTCAACAACAGCAAAAAGCACTATCAAAACTAATAGTACTTTGCCAACAGTCACAATTAGTGCATGCATAAATCATGTGTTCACACACACACACACACACACACACACACACACACACACACACACACACACACACACACACACACACACACACACACACAAAAGAACACAGTTGACTATGAATGCATTCATGAAAACACCTAATAACACATTTAAATTGTATTCAACAGGAAGCAAGTGGACACACAGTCAATAAGACAGGTTAGTTGTCATACAAAACAACATGTTGGATAAAATGCATTAAAAAAAAAAAACAGTTCTAGAATAACTGAGTGGAGGGTAGAAAAGCCTCGCCAGGAGTCTTCTTGGAGCCGAAGCCGCGCGAAGACTGCCTATATGTCGAGAGTGCAGACTGACACCAAGGCACAGCGTAATGTTGGTCATTCACCATTAAAATGGTGGCGGTTTCGGGCATGTGCTATATGCGGGTCCGCACACGGGGTGTTGCTGGAATTTGCTGCATGATTTTTTTTTTTTTTTTTGGGGGTGGGCAGGGGGCATGCATATCCTGTTCATTGGCATTGGTGCCCCCTTGTGGAGCACAAGGAGGGATGCATCCTGATACAATGCACACCTTACACGGTCAAAGTGAATCTTGAGACTGAGTCACTACGACAAAATGATTCAAGTGATTCAGTACAATCGTTGTTACTATCTGAAGACTAAAAATGAACACAGGGTAGTCACTACAAACAGAATATCAAACTTAATCACAGTACAAAGAAAATGATCGCACAACTAAAAAAGTAATTTAAAAAAAAAACGCGCTTACAGCTAATAGTGCTACTACGGGGGAACAACAAAGAACAACCGTGTTGACAATAAACACACAATTCCCAACAGGCATGCTGGGAAGTGCTGCTCTGTTATCAGGGAAGTTGACATGTATTTGTCATTGTTTGTGTATCCTCATCGAGTTAAAGTAGTTGTGCACCACTGCGTCATCGTATTATTAAATATATGCAGGCAATTGTTACATTACAAACGTGGAGACAATTTGCAATTTTGGTACTTTGAGCTAGCGGGCTCCATGAAATGATACGGATTTGGCTGGTAACTTTGACACGTGTTTTTGCTGTTCATGACAAGGCTTGGCAACGATTTCACTGGATAGCAATGCTGCAATCACAATCACGCTGACTGTGATGGAAATGAAATGTGATGCTCTTCTGTGGACAAATCTTGAAATACAAAATGTGAAGGACTGCAAAATGCCCCACTTAGCCAGTCTATTTATCGCGCCCTGGCATCCATTACATGATGAAGTGATAATAAGCAGAAGGTGAAGCGGGCCAGCGGGCTGATAGCGTTAGCATCGAGCAGATATCCACTTTGCACTTCATTAGCTCGTCGTGTGTTTGCTAACAAGTGGCCCCGACTCAAGAGCTCCATCACGACGCTCTGCGAAAATTGAACTTTTGCACCTCGACTTGAGGAAAAAAAAAAAAAACGGCAGTAAAATGATAACTGTGCCAGCCTCTCCACAGAAGACAACGACTGAATGCAAGACAATAACTTTAGTGCATAAATGCGAAAGGTCTGAAAAAAAAAACGCCTGTAAAACTTTGCATAGAGCAGATAGCAGGCCATCGTCTTTATAAGCTGCGTGGGTTGAGATAGCAAAGAAGAGAAAAATGTGAATTCATGCTTCATGCTGGCATCGCCGGCACCTCAATATACAGTAAGCCTTTAGACAAAGCAAAGCCTGAGAAAAGAACATTGGCTGCAGAACTATAAGGAGAAAAAAGAGTGGCAGCTTTGACAATAGAGGAACAGCTTTCAGATGAAAACTGAGTGAATGCTAACGTATAATGAGTATAGTATTCAGACCTGTAGCAAAATAGCAACACCCGTACAGAAAAAAACGGCTACATCAGTGAAGAGTTGGCATTACGTCGCGTAGTCTTGTGCCATTTCTAATAAGAAGCTAAATGCTAACCTATAGCAAGATATGAACAAGAGCATAGAAACTTTGAAGACGGAAAGATGACGTTTTTACATTATTATTTTAATTATTATCATTAGTGTTGCTCATAATAATGAATCAAATACTAGCCTATAGTAAGACACTTTAAATCAACCCTGGTACAGAAAGTGTTAAGGCAAGTCAATAAGGACTTGTACATATTGTGTCATGTGGTAGCTAAAATGCTAACATGCTAATACTTGGTCTGCTAACAAGTAGCCATATAGGAACCCGGGTACAGTCAGAGAGTGTCAAGTTACATAGATTACTATTATTATGCTCTGTGGACAGGTACACTTTTGAAAGAGACGAGCTAAAATGCTATCATGTAGCAAGATCGGATTTTAAGTCAGTCCTTCTCTTGGGTATTATTTCACAACAGAATAGCTAGAATGCTAACATGCAATACTAGCAGATTCATATATGATTCACTTAAAAGCAGAAACACAGGTGTACCTAATGTTATGCCCTGAAGAGTGTATTGTATTGTTATTCTCGACTTCACACATTTTGAGTCACCGGTTCGCACCGCCTTCACTTGTTATTTGTACAAGAGGAGAAACACACACACACTGAATACTCTAAGGTAGGTCCGTTCAGTGAACTGGATTTTATCTCGTCAAGAAGAAGAAGAAGTGTCGTCTTCTTCTCCTGCTGGAACTCGAGCGGCTTGACGGATTTCATCGATTTCATACATGCTCACATCAAAGCAGATCAGAGGGAGTGAAAGGTAGAGAGAGGTGGCCTTGGAATGCTAAGAAGCTCACTGGCTGCACTGCTTATCATTTAGGACTCAAGCTATTAACAGAAAACAATGACAGGAGTGAAATGTTGATAAATATATTGCACTTGGAATTTAAGCGTGACAGCATTCATTTACCTGCTGCAAAATGGAAAATCCAGCCGCCTTAAAAGAGAATTACAACACACATGCGGAGAGAGTAGAGCTTTTGTTTCCATGACAACCGAGGACTTTTCTCGCAATTTCCTTCAAGAGAAGAAAAAAAAAGTTCTTCACGATAAATCGTGCAACTTTTCGGAGTGGAAACTTCTAGAGAGTTGGACACCACTATAAAGTCCAGACTGCAAATGAATGGTCTTTGCATGGAGCCATCACCACCTACCAGTAATTTAGATATATGCCAGTCAGACAAAAAGTCAATTTTCCAATTTAGAAAAAGTAGGACCAAAGGGCTTTCTTTTGCATTTTCTTTTTGTGGTGACATACACTTGAGCAAAGAAAACAATGGCTTTAGTTAGCAATGGTGTATCATTGCACTGCATCTCAGTGATAGCTTTTTCGAACTGGGGGTATAACCAAAAACATTTAAAATCGTTAAATCGTTTTGGATTTCAGAAAGCGGTGCATTGAATCAAACGGAAACATTCCACTCCAAAATAAAAATCAACGGAAAATTCCCAACCCATATTGGATGGTCTTTTATTCCAGAGACACCCCTAAAAATCTGTTTGAAGGGAATGAATGCAACATAGCAACAGCAGCTGCATTAGGGTGACCAAAATATTTGAAACGATGACCAAGTGTAGTTCTAAACAAGTAAAACCCCAAAAATAAAAGTTTGCGAGAATTTATATGCAGGCAAACCAGAGAAATATTGATTTTCATTTTCTTCAATTAGACAGAGAGCATTGTGGGCAATGTGTGCATTCCACACTCCAGTGGACACTAACTCTGTATATAACGGAAAGTACTATCTTGTCCAACCATGTTCAACAGCGGTTCCATAATCATGCAGCGCACAGACTGTCAGTTGTTACATTGGGCAGTCATTCAAGCAAAACAAGGCGAGAGCATCTACACCTTGAATTTTAATTTACCGAAAGCACGTCGCGAGCTTCTTTCGAGACACCAGCTGTGACGGCGCTAAATATTTGAACCGAGACTAGAGGGGAGTGAGTCAGCAGAGGCAGGTGAGGAACACAAATTGTGAGGGGGAACAGATGAACAATCAGCCTGGGCCTTGAGCTATTGGCATTTGGTATTTTGCGCAAATATCTAGGAGGGAATGTGTGGAAAGACGTGGTGAGAGGAGGTAATATGGCCTGCTGTCAACATCCTTTAAATGAAAGAGAATCAAAGAGAAACATATTGAATCTACCAAGCTAATCTGTCTGTTGGAGTGTAAAACCGGGGCTGATATATTCCACAAAAATGTCTGAAGTACAATCGAGTGTCCTTCCTATAAGGCTGCCACCTAACAAAAACCTATGCTACTTGTTACATGGTTACATGGTAGTTCAGGGTAAAAAAATTAAACACAAAAGTAAAAACAAAAAAAAAAAAATTACTGCGTGTTTTACTGTGGGAATCAATTCAAACATTTTGTGAACAATAATAGTTCTAATCACGTCATTTTGATGAAGATTGCATGGATGAAATATGAATTAAGCAGCAAAATCAACCCGTTGTCATCCATCTCCAGGGCGGCCATTTTGCCCGTTGCCGTCGACTGAAAATGACATCACAGTTGCTCAGGGCTCAGGTAACAACCAATCACGGCTCAGCTTATGAACTTCACATGAAAAATTTTGAAAACACAAGCCATCATTGTCCAATACTTTAAAAATGTGCATTTTATATTAAACCAGAAAAGTAATTAATTTAGTCATTACTTTGGCAGGCGTCCTATACAAGTCGTATAAGTTTCTCTATTTATGTTGTAAAATTAAAATGAATAATGATCTGTCAAAACATTATAAATGAAAAAATAATGGTGAAAAAACCCTTCCCTGGCAGCTACGAGCTCTGCCTAAAATAAAAATACTTTTCCAAGAGAAATGGGCATTGGACTTCAACCTGAAAGATAAAATATTTTTGAAATATTAAAAAAAAAATAAAAAATAACACAAATCTGCGAATAGGAGAATCCATGGTTGGCAAATTACTAG